GCCCCGCCGGCCCCGCCGACTCAACGTCCCCCTCAGTGGAACCCGTCATTGTGCAAGATTAGGTTCAACCCCACAGCAAAATAATCGACAGCAATCGTCTTCCTTTGGATCTTTTTCCTGATATACGGGCATGACGCTTTTACTACACGGGCATGATCCTTACACGGGCATGATTTTTGCGACATCTGATTGGCCGATCGGAAGGTACATCCTCGAGAAGGCGCTGAAACTTGATCCCTTAACAGCCTCCAACGATCGCACATGGGCCGCCCCTCTGCGAAGGTTTCCCCACGCAGGACTTCAATGAAGGCACGGATGCGAATGCTGCATAAATCGACCATTGTTGAGGGCAGCTCTCTTTATATCTACTGTCTAACCACTATTGAAGGAAGAACTTCGTCATCGCCGTCGCTATCGAGCAGCTCCCATTGACTCTTTCGTCGTCGAATGCTTGGCTGTGTCCTGCGCCCGCTCGCACGTACTCCTGTGGTTCTTCCCGCTCCTAGTACAGAAGACTGGCTGCGTGTCTGGCGCTTTGATGCAGGTCTTGAGAGCCAACCGGCGCCTCGAACACCCCGCTGCGTGGGAGGTGTCAGGCAGTGTTGAGCCAGCTCCAGAGCTAGGGCATTGTCCAGCTTGGCTTGCTCTTGGGCAAAATCCAACGCGGACCTAAAACGGACCGTGCTTCTCGTGTGCAGCTCGACATCATCTGAATTCGCCTGCTCGCGTAAGCGGACTCTCTCAAGCTTGTCGGGACCTGGAACGAAAGAGGTGAACAACCGACGGGCGCCACGGCCGCGGAACCAGTCGTCTAGGAAGATTTGTGACTGCCGCAATTCCCAATAGGGCTCGTCAATTCCGCGATTACCATGTGGTTTGGGAAGGGTGGTGAAATAGGTCTCTGGCCACGTCGCAAACAGGTTGTATAAGGCGTTGTCGTCGCCATGGCCATAGTGAAGTTCAGGGTCAACCGAAGAGTGGGGAGGGAGCGTGGTAGCGGCCATGTCATTGCCAGAAGGTCGCTAAAATGGGTTTCGTGCTGCGAAATGGGGATTGTACTCTACCGGCTAAGGTGGATATGCTGGTGACGGTGATGGAAAATGTGAAACGCTACGGCACCGATGCCGACAGCAATGCGTGTGGGCGCTGAATTGTCGATGGCTTCAGCGATTAATTCAGGTGGCTGGGAGGAAAGCCGGCCATGTGCAGGGAAGGAAAGACGCACAGAGTGGGATGTGCGCTTGCCCGATTTGGACGGTCAGCCACACGGCGTCCGTAACGCGGCGTCCGTAGTAAAATGGTTCGGCGTCCCTATCAATTGCCAATCGGATAACGTACCCCACCACCGCGTCGCGCACACCACCGAGTCGCGCACTTTCCCACCACACCGCCTACACCCACCGTCTACAATGAATTCCTCCACAATTAATTAATGGAGTCGCGTGTAATTGAATCAAGGGTTATTCTTGCCCTCCGGGCTATCCAGACAGATGAAAATCTCAGCATTCGAGCTGCAGCTAAGATCTATAACGTACCCGCCACAACAATTCGTGATCGACGTGACGGCCGTCCGGCACGACGCGATGCTAAGCCCAATTCAATGAAACTGACCGAATCAGAGGAGAAGGCTATCGTTCAATACGTAATTGAACTAGCAACGCGACCATTTCTTCCTAGATTGCGTGGTGTTGAAGAAATGGCCACGTATAACGTTAACAGCACTTGCTGCCAGCCAACGGTAACGATAGCTTCAGGCAACCCGGCTTCTGCCTGCCATATCCCAGATGCCTGCATCAAGCGCTCGCTACGGGACTGATCTGGACCTCTCTAAGCAAGGCTGAAAGCACCACCTGAAGTCTTCCAGCATCCGGTTGGCTGTCCTTGCGCATCCGACACATGCCACATGCCGGACTTCGAGGGGAGTCTTCGTCCGCGTCGCCTAAAGAATGGACCGTTTCAGTGATCATATGGGATCTAGATCTGGTAAGCGTTGGGAAAATACAGTGCGGCCTAATACGAAAGCCAAATACCTTCGCAGGTGCTCAATTGGCGACGTAGTGTTCGACGCGACGAACATCGAGCTCTTCCCGCGTTCATCACATTTCGAGCAAACCCAGTAGGTCTGCAGCGTCTCACCTGGTCTGGTCTGGTCCAGGTGTCCAGACCAGACCAGACCAGACCATTCCGATCACTGTTGTTCGCTGAGTCGCTCTCGATTCCCGCAACCTTGTACTCGAAGCTACGGCCGAGCCTCTCGGGCCCCAGCATGGTCGCAACGATGATACCGAGGGCGATGATGGCAGTGGCGATGCCCATGGTGGGCCCGTACGCTTCAACGCGGCGGCCGCTCCCGAGCGTGACAAAGGTCTTCTCGGCCACAGCGTTGACAATCTGTGCCGAGGGGGACGATATCATATTCCCGATCTGGTAGGTAACGCCGGGGAACGTCGAGCGGAAGGCAACGGGCGATAGCTCATTGAGGTGGATGGGGATGACGCCCCAAGCACCTTGCACGAAGAATTGCATGAAGAAGCCCGTCACACTGAGCGCGCGCTCGCTCTCAGGCAAAATCCAAGCAGGGATGAGGATCGCAGACATGAGCGCCGAGACGATGATGGCGCGCCGCCGGCCGACGAACTGGCTGAGATAGCCTATGATGCAGCCACCCACGCAGGCGCCCGCTTTCATGATGATGGACGCCCGTGACGCGCCAGCGTTGCTGAGCTCCTTTTGCGTCAGCATGAAAGTTGTGTACGAGTCTTGCGACGTGTGCGAGTAGTAATTGAACCAGGTCATGAGGACGATGCAGTATATGCACATCTTCCACTCTTGCCCGAGCATCTTCTTGACGTCGCGCCAGAAGGCTCCTGGTGAGAGAGTCTTTTTGCCCGCTTTCTTGGCCTCAAGAAACTGCTTCGACTCGGGGAATAGGATGCGGACGAGGCCAACCGCTATGGAGATTCCAGCTATAGAATGGTCGCTCTGATCAGTACGAGCATCCTTGTCATTGCTTGTCGTCATGCCGATGCCTCAACTCACCCGCAATCCAAAAGACAGTCTTCCACGTCTCAACACCGCCCCCCACGCCGAGGTTGGCGCACGCAGCCAAGACGTAGCCGAGAGAGTAGCCTTGCTGCAAGATCCCGGACATGAGGCCACGCGCATTAGCGCTGTGACCGACATTAGTATGACCACTCTCCTGCTGTGAAAGTTTCGAGCGTCGGACACCTACGGGCAATGCTCAAGAGCCATCGCAATGGCGTTGCCATATACGCCCCCCATACAGTGTTGCTAATAGTACAAACAATACGTATATTGGCAATATGGGACCCCTCGCAATATTATTGTATTGTCAAGAGTGCCATATTGTATTACGCAATATGGGGCAGAGCCATATTGTATTGCGCAACATGAGGTTGGTCCATATTGTATCATATTGTCAAAGACCCGACATATTGCCAATATATATCGTATATTGCACGTGACAATATAATTCAATAACCCACATGAAACGTACCGTTACTTTATTCACTAGCAATATCTTGCAGCCCAAGCCATGACTTCAAACACTCTAGCGCTTCAATCACATCCCTCCCCAGTCGATTTCGACGATCCGTGATGGTGATCTTCGCCCCAGAGAAGAGCCGTTCAGGCTCGGCAGACATTGCAGGAATTGATAGTATATCAACGGCCATTTTGCTCAGGTTGGGGTAATTTTTCCGCTGCGTCTCTTCTAGCCACCATGAGACTGCGCTTGTGAACCCATACACCCGCTCAGATTTGCAATACCGCTCATACTCGTCCCTGATGAGCGATGGCTGCAGATGCTTGTTCCCCCAGTTCAAGAACTCGTTGGTCGTCATCGACGGGGTCTCGCAGAAGGGAATAGCTGGCTCCACTGGTCTATACTCGTTCCACAGCGTTTGCAGGAGTTTCTTTGACGACTCAACCCACTCTGTTTTCCAGTTCTCCTGTATGTAGTGCCATTTGTGCGAGGGATGGAGCACGATCGCCGCTACATAGGCGGGCGATTTATCGGTAAGACGGTAGTACTTGTCCAACTTCGCCCAGCCCGAGTTGTACATCGGCCCCATCATTGGATCGCCTTTGTGTGCTTCCTTTCCCGCTTCAAACTGCGCAAGCATGAAATCCATAGCCAGGAGGACATTGCGAGAGTTGCAAACGACGATTCGAGCGCCTTGGTAGTCATCTTGAGCTTCTCTAAAAAGGACTTGACCTTCTCGAGGACGATCCAGTCCTCTGCGGAGAGCTCGTCGCCGGCACAATCTGCTTCCGTCCACTTGCTGAAATAGCCATCTATTGCTTCTCGGAGGTTCAACGCCGCTCGCAGCATAGTATACCACGAGCTCCATCTTGTGTCGTTGTCTCGCGCAAGCTTGCGGTTGCGGCTAAGAACTTGGAACCTTTGGCTGCGCTGGACACTCTGTTGGATGAAGACGACGAAGTTATGAAGCTTGCCGAGAGGGCCCATTTGCCGCCACGCCTTGATCTCTTTCAATGTCGCATTATTCCCCGAATCGTCATGCTCGAGTTTCTCGTTGTCCGTGACGAAGAGGAAGGCTTTCGCGGCGAGGTTGATAATATGGCCTTGGCAGCGAAGTCTGTGTGTTTTGGCTTCGTAGTGAATGTCAAACCGACGTAGAAGTCCTGCGAGTGTTAGGGCCAGTCGAAAGACACAGGTCGTTCAACTAACCCAGGGAAAGAGATTTCATCATCGTATCATTATTGCCTGCATTGTCCATCACAAAATAGCCGAGCTTGGAAGCAAAGCCCCAGTCCTCTATCACTTCCAGAATTGCATCTGCGAGGTGAGACCCGTCATGCTCACTGTCGATGTCCTTTAGCGCCAACGTATGGTGTTGCAATTGACCGTCTTCCGTAACATAGTGAGCGACCACGCCTAGGATAGCCAATGTGTTGGGGGAGGTCCAAAGATCGCAGCTGATATGGACTCTTGACGTTGCCGATTGTATGCGCTGCTTGACTTTCTCCTTCTCGGTGTCGAACTGCCGCGTTATCCATTTCTTGACGGTTTCGTGCGTGTCTGGAAGCCAAGTATCGACATCGGTATTTAGATAGACAAGAAGCGCTCGAAATTCAGGACACTCCACAAGTCGAAATGGCAGGGAGCAAGCCGCAATGAACCGCACGTATATGGCTTCAAGTCTGTCGGGGTCTCCAGGTTGATCGTTGAGACGGCGGCGTTTTCGGGGATTATCCTCAGCCGAAAGACGGGCCTGCTCGAGGATAGTACGGATGCTTGTCACCTTCGCGGATCGTGGAGCGCTTTTTGGCAGACCGTGTCCTTCAGGAGGAGGGTCCGTTAGGTGCTTTGCGGGAGCTGCTGTTCCGCCAGAACAGGAATACGTCTTGTCACAGTGCTTGCAGCGCCATTCCTCCTTCCCAGTCCGCTGGTTGTAATACCGCGTCTCCCTGTCCTCGTCCGGCATATGGGAGAAGACCCATGACGTTCTCGGCTTGGCGCAGGAGGTTATCAAACCCGGGCGAAGTCGCGACGATTGCCATTGTGAGGTTTGGCTCTCGTCCTGGTCACAATTTGGCTGGCTGATTAGATCCGAAGCGTCATCCGATATTGACGAAGCATCTCGTTTTCTCTGGACAAAGGCAAGCCGCTGCTGAGGCATTGAGGCTGCGCGTGACAGTCTCCACTAAGCATATCGCCATTTAGCAGAGCGACTGCAACGAGTATCCAGAAGTTAAGGAGGAAAGGTAGGACAGACAAGAAGAATAGGGGGAAATGAAGCTCGAAGAAATCCTCAGCTACTGCGGTTCTCAATGCTGGACGTGATTGGTTAGTCGAGGGTGCAAGCTGAGACATACTGGTCAGCCGTGACACTGGCTGCGTGGTTGTGACAGGTCACCCTAGAGGCTCGGTCCAATGCTGTTGCCAACGCGTTTTTGGTCCGGGTGCTCGCATGTCAATCGGACAAATTGTCAACAAACATGCCAAAATTTTTGACAAAAGGCGACCAAGCAATATAAATAATATACTGGCAATATGGACGTGCTGATATTGTATTGTCTCAATATGGGGGCGCCCATATCATATTGTCACAACACAACAGACGTCCATATCGTATTGGCACAATATCGAGGGTGTCCATATTATACCGTATGTATTGCAATATATTGTTTTGTTGCCGTATTATTAGCAACACTGCCCCCATAAAGAGGCCAAAGAGGCTGCGCACGGCCAGGAACTGGGAAAAAGTCGAGCTGTAGATAGTGGCAACTTGTAGCACGCCTAGAACGATCATGTTGAAGACCATTGGCCACTTGCGACCCCATTTGTCGCCGGCGAGGCCAAAGATGGCGGCGCCGACGGACCGCAGCAGCAGTGTCAAGGTGATGGCGGTGGTGATGTCCGTCTTTGAGCGATGGTAATATTTGGATAGCTTGACAGTCTGGATTGACAAGGCGTGGAAGTCGAACGCGTCGGCGGTCCAGGCGCAGAAGCCAACAATGAAGAAGATCCAGTCACGGGCTGACAGTTGTGCGAAGAGGCTGACGGGGTTGACGAAGCGGTCGACCTCGTGCCACTCGCAGCGCGTCTCGCCATGCTCGTTGGAGACGACGACGCGCTTTTTCCAGATGAAGAGGTCACGGATCTACTGTTTGGCTGTGGCGAAGGCACCCTTGGCCAGGTCGTCGGCCGACTCAACCTGAGTCGACATGGTATGTGCGTCAACCGGAACGAAAGGAAGGGGGGCAAGCGATAGGCAGTCGTAGAGGAGCTCTGGTAGTTTTCAGTGAGGAAGGAGAGTATTCGGGAGACGAGCTCAGCGCACGATCTCTGTCGTCTTTGCGGGCGTACGACGTGTTCATATACATATGTTGTAGAGCTGCCGCCTCGATGTCCTGTGGTTCCAGACCGGACGAGACGAGGCCCTCGACGCCGCGCGACAATATCAGAGTTTACGACATTTCCCGAAACCGGCACAGGGGTGTTGGAACAACATGACGAGAGAGTACTGGCAGGACTACTACATCTCCGGGAGCTATGTAGCCGGGCGTCACCGCGTGGTCCCATGAGGACCGCAGCAGGGACCAAGAACAAGATCGACGAGACAGCATGAGTCAGAGGACAAACCCCTCCGTCACGGCAATCCGCGTACCAACGATGTTGAATGCCATGCCACGAGCTGCGATCCACGACGAGTAGCCTCCTGCGTTGGGGCAGGCCGTTGGGCTGGTCCGGTACAAGCATTCCGTGACTGGTTGCGCCATTGTAGATAGTGACTTCCGGAGGGGTGGCATGGTCATCCTGCCACCCAGGCCGCGCACCGCACTATCCCGTTCTAGTGGGACAGGGGATTCTCGTCTCAAGTGACGCGTGCCAAGAATGTTCCTTGGGCTCCACAGAGGATCAATGCTATGTGGAGCTCCGTTCCGGCTCGTGTTGTCGGATGGCCGGGATAGTCTCGCTGTCTCACATTGACCCCCAGCAATGCCATACCTGGTAGGACAGGAAGGCTGCCACTCCAACGTTTGCCCCAGAGGCTGTGACGGCGGAGCCAACCACCTGGAGAAGCCAATGTCGCTAGAACGAATTTGTGGGGTTCGCTCGGCGCGCCTTCCCCACACCTCGCGCCACCGTTTCGGTCTGGACATTGACCGAAGCGGGGGGGCCATGCCAAGGCTGAGGGCCAGGCAGACTCCTCAACCCCATCCTTCCATACCCAGTTCTGGAACCGAGGAAATCCACAGCGGCCACTGACGGATCGGGATCCGTGCAAGGGACGTTACCACCGTTGTCCTTGACGCAAACGGTTCGTGACGCATATTCCGTTAATCACGCGCCCCGAATCCGGGAACATGAGCCGGAACCACGAAGAACGTGCAGTCACTGATGCTGCGCCTCACCCGCAGCAAGGGGCCATCCTTGGTAGCTTCCGCAGCAGTCCGCATGCAACCCGGTACCGCGAGTGTCAACCTACTCTGAGCGACGCCCCGGTCCCTGGCTTGCTTTGTTGAGGCAACGGCGCTCACGATCTAGATGGGCGGAGAAGTTGTGGCACTAGTCAGCTGGACTTAGGCCCTGGTGCTACACACTGACGCCTTTGACTGTGCCAGTGGTGATCCGCGTTTATTCGAGCTGCGTTCGCTGAGGCCTGAGCTGAGTCGCTTTGCGTCGCGTGACAAGAGGAATATGTGATGGAAGCTCGCTTGGGTCCTAGCCGCCCCCAAGTCCATGCCCGAGCTTTGTATGTAGAAGAGCCATACGCCTACGGGGATCTACGGCCCCAGGCTGTGCCAGGTTTTCTAGATACAGCAGACATCCCAGTAATGAATAAATACATAATTTTGCCATATTCTTATGTATTCATAACCATGTCCTTATATTCATATCCATTCTTAAGCTTATGAATTATTAAGAATATAAATCTGAAGCTCCACTTATTTTGTCATCGCCGCCAACTTCGATGACATCGTCGTCTACTGACACATACACTTTGCGGATCAAGTCGTTCCTCACCCAATTGCTCATACATTGAAGTTTCTCAATGGTATCAGCTGTGAGACGTGACCTGTCCCATGAAATTGTCCGCCGTGCGCAGGAGAATACCCGCTCCGGGTCGTCTGACATGGCCGGTACACTGAGAACATCAATGGCCAATTGGTGTAAACGCGGATACTCAATCCTCTGTTCTTCTCGGCACCACCATTCAAGTGGCGTGCGTGTCGTCATAGGTCTGGGGGGAGAGTTGACGAACTTTTCGAATTCATCCTCGTTCCCAGGCTCATCCAAGACGCTCATTGACTGTTTGATGCGCTCGTATGGGGTTGCTTCTCGTGGCTCGGTGTAAATCTTCTGGACTGCAGAATTCAACGGCAGTGGTCGGTCCTTGTACTTGGCCCAATGCTGCCGTGCGCCGGCAGTGGCGGTTCGCCTCCACTCCGGTGCCCAGTGACGTTCAAGGTACCTCCTGCGCTTCTCCGGATGAAGCAGCAATGCTGTGGCATAAATGGGATTCCTATCACTCTCTTCGTAATACTTTGAGAGAACCCACCAACCCATGTGGATGGAATGAACCATACGCGCGTTGCCGGCGTATTTGACCTGCTTTCACGTTAGTACAGGTCTGGTGGTAGGTTGTACTGCCATTCACTTGCCTTAGCATTCTCAAACTGCATGAAGAGAATATCCATGTTCTCTAGCACCTGGTCTATTGATGCCCACTCCATCTGCTGCTCCAAGGTCGCCTGGTGGAACGGCTGCAGGAACTCGTGAGTCATTTTGAGTAGTTGCCAATCATCGTGCGTAAGGATGTCATCCTTTAACTCGTCGTGATATTGATTGAGCAGTATTGACAACGGACCCTCCTGGGTTATGGCCGCATCAAGTAGCCGGAACCATGAATTCCAACGTGTGACGTTGTCAATTCCGAGCGCTTTTCCTGCAATGTCATCCCATGCATCATTGTGAATAGTGGAATTACGAATGAACAAGGCAATGTTGTGAAGTTTGCCCAGTGGGCCGATGCTCCGCCAGCCGGCAGTATCATGGCGTTTCTTGCGCCTGTCATGACTCCTATGATCAGTGGTGGCCCGAATCTGGTCATGCAAGGCTTCCGCAGCTGTTACATCATTCGCTTCGTCCTGTGCCGCTTCAACTGCGGCCTTCAGGGCGCTTTCGCTAGTTGCAAGGAGAAAAGCTTGAAGAGCCAAGTTGATGATATGACCGGCACACCGCGTCCGAGCGGACACCGGATCAATCGTAACCTCGAATTCTCGCGACAGCTCCACGGCTAGTTGGCGGAGACAGGTGTCGTTCTTAGTGTCATTGTCCCCAGTGAAGTATCCGAGCTGCTGAGCTAAGTGGTACTGCCGGACAATTTTCATGAGGTGAGGAGTCATCGCCGCGCCGGCGTGAGACCGACGGAGGTTTGGTAGCCCTAGCAATGCTTTCCGAGGTTTGTAGGTCTCGTCAACCCACTGTGCGTGAACAGCGATATATGCCTTGCGCTGCGGAGAAGACCATACGTCCATAGAAATATGTACGAGGCTCCGAGCACGTTCCAGCCATCTCCTCAGGGACTCGCGATGCGCATCATAGGCCCTGGTCAAGTCCCTTGCAACGGTGCTAGCGGAGTCAGTCAGGAACGGTTGAACGGCAGGATTTATTGCGGCTAGAAGAGCCTGGTATTCCGGCCACGTTACGAAGTTAAGTGGCAAATGTTTATGTGCGCAAAGGAGCATCTGTGCCTCGCGAAAGGCGTCGATGTTGATTACGCCCCGCAAAGTGTTCATTTCCGACTCCCTAGCTTGCGGCAGCCCCTTGACGGCCGCTCTGGCGAAAGCATTGTCGATGGCGAGTTGGCGCCTATCCTGTGACTTTGAATCCTCTCGAACAAGGATGTGATGAGTCTTCTCGAGGTGGTAGCGGGCGTTGCCGGATATGTGGGTTGACCAAGATGGATTGCGACAATGGGTGCAGTAGTGTAGCAATCTCCCGCTCATTGTGCGTGGCTCGTTGGCTTGTGCTTCTCGAAAGTGGTCCCATGTTGTTGTGGCTCTCAGCTTTCGTCTCTTGGTCGTATGCCGAGTTGACGCGTCGGGTTCCGTCAGTGTGCTGGCAACTTGTGAAACACTGTCCGAGGGAAGTACGGAGGAAGAGATTGAGGGGGAATTGAATTGGGGCAGTGAGGGCATGTTGACGTCCATGGCTGAGATCTGTCGCTCTACGTTTTCGATTGCGTCCTTTCCATCTTGTAGCGGACATGGCGCGGGAGAATTCGGGTGGGCTGCTTAGTAGTTACAACTTATTAAAATCTTTCTGGAGCCTTCGTTCGGAGCAATCAACCTGAAACACGTGCGTGTAAGTAAGGATGATGAGGACGCCCTGTGAGACGCGGTGCGGCGCGGTGCGGTGGGTCCAGATCCTTAAGAATATAAGAATTATGTATTCATTGCCAACCCCTATATTCTTATTCTTATGCATAAGCTTAAGAATGAATATGCCCTTAAGAATGAATATATATTCATTACTGGGATGTCTGAGATACAGCATATTGAGTTACACCTACTGTCTGGAGATACCTCCGCCCTCTCTGGCCCCTTCATTGTCTCAAGTTTTGAGTTAGCGTTCCTTCTGCTGGTTGGAATTTCGTTGCGCAGTGTGACCAGGCTCAACCTTGTAAGCGGGGTACACGACACCATGGCGACGATGATGCGTGCGCTTAACACGGTGCGGGCTTAACTGGACTTCAGGCATCGTCTCGTTGTCGGTTGTTTTCGTCTCCGCCCACTGCAGAACTGTGCGCTAGAGCGTCTGCAGCAGATCCAACCAAGGCTGTCAGGCCGCTTCAAGCCATGGTCACGGCGTCCATGTCTGCGATTGCGATCGTGACGTCCGTAGCTTGCTGTACGGCAACAAGGACCGACCGCATGCAGTATGCCAAGCGAGGTCCTTGTGTCCCTTGCTTCGGTGCCTATATAGTGACACTCGCACCCAAAGCATTACAAGCGCCGCGGGTGTTCGAGTCGGACAGGTGCGCTCGTCGTGGGTGTGTCAAAGTAAGCAGCACCGGCCATGAGCAAACGCAACCTTACCTTTGTCGACATGCTCGATCTCGAAGCTCGAGAAGAGGGATCATCAGGTAACCCGTCTCAGTGTGTCTACGTGCAAGTGCCGCGACTGAACCTATCCAGACAGTGAGTGGCGAAGTGAGGATAGCGATAGCACAGAAGTCGACAGCCAAGGGAACGTGCGGGACTTCGTGTGCAAGGACGATGACGCCTACGAGCCGCTACAGACCCCAGGGTCGCAGTCATCGACTTCGAGCGACAGCTGCTACCAAGATGAGCAGGCCCACAACGACGATTGTGGAGCGCGAAAGCGTCCATTCGGTGAGCGGCCACGGCGACCGTCCGCCTCTGACAGAGCAGTCCATCGCAGTGCCGCCTTGCACGCCGCCTTGCATTGCTCGTCCTGCCACTGCTGTGCCGCCGCACACGGCCTACACTGTCACCAATTCCACCCGTACGTATTTGCTTCTCAATTGAAGAGTGCCATACCCATGCTGGACGGTTTTGCGCGCAGTCTCAGGTCGCTGCGGGAGGAGATGGCTCTGAGTGACGGGGCGACAGAGGAGCGTCCTGATGGTGGTCCAGAGACTAAGGGCGGCCAAGATGGCAAGCCTCCCACTGCCAATCCTGGTGGCTCTACGCACAACAGCCAGGCCGTCGAGGGCTCGGACTCAGACGAGCCACCGCGGCCCAGACGTCGTTTACGTCGAGGGCGGCCCTTGGCTAGAGGCTGTCAGACTTGAAATGTAGCAATAGCAGCATATGATAGAGGTACAGTACAAGAACGTTATTGACACTTTTGGCATCGCCTTGCTCTGAGCTCTCAGTGCACTGCAGCCACTCGCGCGGTAGGGTGCTGGGGCCCACTGTGATTCACTGAGCATTCGTCGAAGAAGTGTTCCGCCTATCGATGCTCATCGTCCTAGGCGCAAGATGAAAGATGCACCAGCTGATGCCACCGTGCGCCCGGCATCACTCTTGCGGGCACAGCTAGGTTGTCAATGTCCTGGTTCGTGTCGATGTGAGCATCGTCGTACCGGTCGCGGGTCTTCGGGACCTGTCTCTTATACACATCTAGATGTGTATAAGAGAGTTGTCAATGTCCTGGTTCGTGTCGATGTGAGCATCGTCGTACCGGTCGCGGGTCTTCGGGACGCTCCGGTGTGGCGTTGATAGCACGCCTCGATGCCCACGCGGCCCGTTCCACTGCCCCTTGTCCTACCCTACTACCGAGGAATTCCGCCCTGAAGGTGACACTTTAATCCATGAACCGCCATACTGCAGCAGCGCATCGTGACAATGCGAGGCCAAATGCGAGTGTACGCATATTTGGATGGCCTGACAACTCCTCGGTTTTTCGAGTTGCCCCTGGCATTGTACTTTATCGGAGAAGACGGCCGATTTCCAGCGCACCTGTTGATAGCGTTTCCACCACAACCCCTCATATGCAGCGGCAGCACACAAGCCCTAATGGCCCTACTTGACATGCAACGATCCAGTTGGTACAGTACTCAACCAGTCTTGCGTGTCCAAGTTTATAAGGCCAGCTATGTGGCCACCGTGCGGACAAGCTCAGAGGCAAGTGTATTGCCGGACGCATAACGCCGCGCGGCGCTCGCGGACAGACCGTTCCTGCACCATCTACCAATATTGTTGCGAAGAGACCTATGTACATCACGCGTTAAACGTTCGAGGCTCGACAAAGAACTGTCTATCATGCACCAGTCGGGCCAATACCTGTCGTTCTTACCAGCAGCAGATGCGAATGACGCGGCAGGGACGGCCCGCGCGAGTCCAGACGTGACAGCATCGCACTGAAAGAACGGGAGGCCTGACGGCTGGACGACGTCGAAGCTGTCGACGCGGCAAGGCAATGAGTATGCCTTGCCAAGGACGAGTGTTTCCTTCGGATGGCTAGAACAAGCCGTTGGAAACCTCCAAGGGCGTCTATATAAGCCCATGATGCCCCGACGAGAATGGGAGGTGCCAGGCTACAGACCATCACTGGGGACAAGCCCATTGCCGACTTCTTCTTACATCTACTTCTACCGCCTCCTCATTAGGCATTCCTCAGGATTCCTCACCGTCACCAACCATCATGGAAGCTCTCCCGGCATTTGCTCTCTTCGTCCGCTGCTTACGCTGCGCCAGGGGGGAAGAACTGATGAGTACGGACGACGTTCAGGGGCACGGATATGTGAAAATTGGGCACAATCTGTTCTATTGCACAAGATGCGCGGACAAGACTGGTTATTCAGAAGTAGCTCAGGTCAATTGATGAGGGTTTTGGCAGCGTGATCGCTTTGTTCTCATATCGTTACTGACGTGGCTTGGCCAAAAACTTGCGAGCGGCGACGACGGCCGGGGAGGACAACGCGCCCCGGTATCGCTATGTGTGTGTACGTGCTGTTGGACGGGTTGCGACCTCGTACTTCCGCCTTCAGACCCTCCCGGCTGTCCATTAGCTCGCGACATGCGAGGAGACGCAGCAACTTGTTGGCTGGCTGGCTTGAGAGCAGCTCGCGTTGTAAACCAACTACATAGTCTATCTTGGCCATAGTGTGGCCCGTTAATGCCAGATGCATGATGGTCGGCGTAGAATACATGAGATATTGTTCGGCGTGCTGCACAGCATCCTACCAGCGTGTGCCTGACCGGTTTCCTACACACAGCTAGAGCTGTCACTTGAGTCTAATCAGTTGGATTCGTCCAGCGCAGAGGCGTCGTGGCCGGTACCTTCTGCGTGCGCGCTGGTCTTAGAATGACTATGATCGCTCAATCAGCCGCGGTGCTGCGTGCCCGGACAATAGCGGCACACCTCGCAACGGCAATGTGTACAGTAGTCTCATAGAGGACTTCTAAAGGATGGCTGAGAGCAGTGGCGAGTGAGCACCGAGGCGTTTGGTGGCCGAGTCAGTGGCGACTGTCTGCTTCTTCCCGCCGCACCCTTGAGGCTGCAGGTGGTCTGTATTGGCTTTGCAGCTGGCGCAGGTCCGCAGAATCTGGATCCTACGGCGCGCGAGGAAGTTGCGGCCTTCGAGCGTGACTTCTAGAAGAGGTTGAAGGATCTGGTGTTGGCAACTGTTCATCACTAGCGGTTGTCCGCTTATTGCCAGCATGGAGCCGCTAATCTCTCATTTCCCCCTCATGGCTGCGGGTTTCAGGTATTGGCTTTGCGAGAGTGCCTCGTGAATCTTTCAAATCAGGAACTGGACGATGGACGACGGACGACGCAGCAGCGCAAGGAGCTTTTGCGGTCATTAAGCATGGCTGCCAAAGATGGAAGTCCGGGGGTGGGGTGGGGTTTGCTGTGGGTGTCAGGGGCGGCTGCCCACCCCACGCCCACAGACGGCCACAAGTGGCCTTGCATGATCTTCACGTAAACGAGAAGGATCGTCAGGAACTGGCCGACGCAGCTTTGTGGTCGTGGGGGTGGCTGGGAACCAGGGGCGATTGTCCACTTTTTGCCATCTTGGGTCCGCTATGACCACCCCCTCCCCCGCTTCGGGTGGTCAGTTGTGGCCTTGCATAACCTCCTTCTGTACGTCATCAGAACTCATCAGGAACTGGACGATGCAGGTACGCAGGGAGCTTGTGGCCTTTCACCATGGCTTCCAGGAATGGGAATATCAGGGCTGGCTTTGGCTGCGGGGATGAGTTTCTGGGGGTGTGGATGGGGTCACTGAAGTTCACCTTTTGCCGCCATAGCGTACTATTTCTGCACCCCCCGACCGACCGGACTGCAGGTGCCGTAGTCGACAAGATGACCACTTGGGAGCTGACCCGCCCTTTGCCCACATCAGGACAGAAGGCTGGTTTCTGCTTTTCGGTGCCACTGGCGTTGCAATGTCTCCAACGGGGCAACTGGCCGTTCGGACGCGGCGGCAGCATACCGCACAACATCTAGACATCCAGAGTCAGGTCCTGCGAAG